GGTCCCTGGTGCTGTCTTAACCTAGACCACAGACGTGGCCCTAACTGCTGCTTGCCACCACTTTCACCACGCGTAGCGCTTCATCGTCACTCCCAACATCGACTTACACATAAGAAAGCTATCATGCGCTCGACTCAAAAACTGAGACGACCACACGTGCGCACCGTGATAAGTGGTATCCTGGTAACTTTCATTTACACTGTACTGCAACGCACCCTCCCAAAGGTAGAATGTGTAGGCGTTAATAAGTATGCACACAAAAACAAGTGGATGTCGATTTTAATTTGAAGACTGAAGAGGACGAGGGGATTACAGGCGATATAATAAAAGTGTTGCCGGCGGGTCCAGGGGATGAGAAGCACGCAGACCGGCAGGTAAAGGTGTGGTTCTGACCCACAGGACAGAAACATGAAAGCCCTCCACGCAACTCATACACCTTTACTTGCCCGTCCACGACTACCGCTTCTCAGTTTCTCCACTTCTACCACGTAAACCCAACTATCAGGTCTCCATAAAAACCTTGCAAGTCACACAACACAAACACTTCAAAAACAAATCAATAGAAGGCCCACATATAATCGAAAAGTGTATCAATATGACTCCAGCAGCAGCCACGGAAACAAGTACAAATAAAACAACTTGAGAAGTAATCTATGCGGTTAAGCGGAGTGGTGGACATAATGAGAGCGGCCACCCTCCCCCAGTACCCCTTGGGAACAGCCGGCGGCGATCCCCCACCTCACATATGTCACTACCGCTACGTGGCCGACCCCGATACCATGAACAGGGGCTGCTACTCACTGCCGCCAACTAACACGGTAGCTGAGGCCTCTAGCGACGAGTGGATGAAGGGGACAGGTAGTAGGAGAGGTAAATACGGTCGGGAATAAGAGCAGCAACAACAACCAGAGGAACAAAAGCCCCGCGCAACAAACAAAGAGTGCCCGGGGAACGAACCAGATAACAGACAATGCTCAACGTACGAAGCCGCCCAAGACGAGAAGTTTACTTTTGTCTTAATGAAATTAAATCACAAACGTGATAAACTCGGATAAATAAGCCAAAGTGAGGGCGAGGCGTTATGCCATGCGTACAAGAACATCACAGTTCCAAGGCTAAGCTCATTTACCTGAGGCTGTACAACAGCAACCACACTTTACGCTTCAGTGATCACAAAGTAGAGTGAGGGTGGGCTGTGTGAGACTACCATCCACTGTCACACGCACTGACGGACACACTTGTGATACATGTTCAACACGCACACCTAAAAACGGCATTAAGTGCCCGCAACACGAATGATTCAAGCGCTGAGGTTTCACTACCTACCATAACGTCATCCCAACTTAACACTAACACCACCTAAACCTTTTCGCACAAAACTTTTACTAGCGTGCACTTCCAGAGGTTTCATATATAAGATATAATTTATCTTGGTACCAAACACAGCAGAGTACCAACAACGTATCATTTGCTGACCGAATATTCGTTTTAGTTACGCCAACTTTTCAATGTGTAAAGCCCATTCTTTACCCCTAACAAAATTCGTATCGGTTATAGACCGTGCTTACTAAATATGTAATGAATATAGATCTTGGCATCGTGCGATAGTAAGATCTGCACTACACTAGATTGATTTTTGCTTACGCACAAGTTGCCGAAGCTACTGGTGTCAGGAATTCACTTCTTGCGCCGTAAATATTGAAAGTGCTCTGACCAGTGATAAGTTTGCACTCAAATTCTAAAAGTCCTGCTTGCGCGTCAAAGCAGGGACTTTCATCGCATTCTCGGGAGGAAATAAACACCCGTGAGAATGCCAAAATTACAAATAGGCCACACAAGAAGGTAATGCGTTAACCAATGTAAAACATGGAAACTTAAGCACTTCAAATTGGGCCAGAAATCTCACTTGAATTTGTTCCAGAGTGCCACCAACTCCCAGAAGCGACAATAAACGTTAACTTGAATCACCCCTTAAAGGCTTAAACGATAAATCATTAATTTCACTTTCCGGAACCATCGTTTATTCAGGTGAATAATTAATTTCAAACTAATTCTTGGACACGAAACGCACTTGAATTACGAATGATTCAGTCATTAATAAATTCAACAATGCAAAAAAAATACAGAAATATCCGGTACCCGTCTCCCATGACTGGTTCTTATCTCCTCAGAGTTACGCTTTTTACGTACAGTATTAGCTCACATTTGCTCCTGATAATGTACCGCGTACTCTGAAAGGACCATACAACCAACTTTTTCCCGGAATCTGTAAACATCTACTCACAATAAGAAACTATTTTCATAATATATGACCAATATGTTCTCACGCAACCTACAGTGTGTATTTGCAGACCCCTAGATCTGGCTGCGCTGTATGTAGTGTGCACTGGTGAGAGACCCATGATGGTGAGGCGACAGAAAGCAGAGGTGAAGGCTCCACCAACCACGTCACACCTCCCCACTCCTCCACCTCTCAAACACTCTCCTCTCACTCTCTCGGTCTTCCTCTCCTTGTCTCCGAGCGGCCGCGTGTGTATTGATTATTGAGCTGCCCTGGGCTCTGCTATATATAGTCACAAGATCCAATGCTCTACTAGTGTCACCCTCCCCCCCCCTCCTCCACTTCCAATGGCATACCATTCATCAATTATGCTAAGCGCGTGGACACTAAAAACTTCCACATAACAATGCTGTTTACTTACACCTTCTTGATAATCCTTGCGAGATTTTCTGAGTTATTTAATAAAGTGGTGTATTTAACTTAAAGGTATACGAGTTCTCTTTCCACACTAACGAGAACTGACAGTCCATCAGCTCAATATACCTTAACTGTTACGTTAAACTTTAAGTTAACGAAGTTAAAATCATCGAACATATAATTGATTTCACAATTCCACATTATAAGGTTGCTTGAAATACAAATTTTTCGAGTCATATCTGAACCTTATGGTATGCACCATACCATGCAAATAACCAATAGTCTACTTACTGGACAATCTAATCGCTTATCAGGTTATAAGACACCACATTACTTGGTACATTCTACAGTATCATTACGGTCCCAGTAATCTAATCATTCAATAAATCTTAAAGGAAGGACCTTAATGCAGTACACAATTTCTTGGTTCCCGCTCACAAATAACTTCCAGAGACTACACCAAATACATAACCGACTACATCAAGGAAATACGAGTATTGGTAGCACGGTCGTCACAAACATCTCCTTGTTACTATAGCGATGAATAGAGCTCGCGCCTTGCCGACACGTATCTAAGACATTATTTCTCTTCCTCATAATGGCGAACCTAAGGCCAGTTAGTTCCGACTTCGGTGAGGCATTAATGACGACGGTATTTTCAGTTCTTAGTTTCGTATATCTTAAAAGTGAACAAGTGCAACCGAATATATTTGAAATTTCATTTATCCATGCTTTACTGCGCAAGCTTAGCGATGTCTGACAAGTTTCTCGGCCTCAATGCGCACTTTCTGCCAGGTTAATGTGACACATAACCTAGTTTAAATTCTTTGGTTTACACATACTTAATCGATCTAGTTTCGTTACTCAGTTGATACTTCCTCATTATATGATTAATCTTGCTACCCTCAGTCGCACCATGTTAAATATCACTTATATTAGCTTGGAAAGGTAAGCCAGCGACACAAGGTTGATCGCCATTCACGGCCTCTATAATAAATCATAAGTCTAATCAGTGAAGACTAACTTTGGAAATTTGGCGTAAATTCCAATTATGTCGTAGTCGGAAATTTTTAAATTATTTCACTGGGGTTAGACGAAAGTGAGGAACAAAAAGGTTGACGTACCTGGTGGATAACGAGATTACCTCGGGGTGCACCTCGCCTTGGTGACAACTGGATATTGTGTAACCTCAAATCCTAATGTTCCTAGCGACTGGAATACCACATGGTACATGCAGGATGTCGTGTGGGCGTCACGCTAAGCCACCACTTGTACGACGAGGCGGCTCATATATGGGGCATGTGAGGCCCGGCCCGTCTCTACTAGCCACTGGTCCTGGTGCCACAACTTAGCCACGAAGCCACGCGATGTTCACACTATAACGATAACGCTTGATGGATTTCACGGTATTAACCTTTCACATATTACCTCACAAAACATAAGCAACTGAACTTGGATTCAAGCCACGCAATAAGGGACAGAAGGATCACATCTCTGCCAGAGGGTGAGGCAGCAGCCGGATGCGTGGGGCCTGAGGCAGACCGGCTGCTACCATGGCTCCGAGGTTGCCTGGCCTGACGACAACGGTCGCCAGATACCAAACTATATGGCACCACGCCAACATGAACTGCTTCACTTCCAGTAATATCATCTATATTATGACTGCTCCAGTCACGGGCATCCAGATGTATTACTTGCGAGGGACCGCGTGGTGCGTCACCACTGCCGTCTTACCATATAACACCACCAATGGCGGATTCCGAAGCTACACAGTAACCACTCGCCAACATTTATCAATTATCACTTATTATATAGACGTATTTATATTTTTTTCAAGTCGATAACGCAGTGTAATAAGAAATAATGTGGTGCTCTTGTGTTTATTATGGTGTGGTGTGACATAGAGCAAGCAGAAGTAGGGCATGGAGTGAAACAGCTGCTGTCTACCCTACGACAATATTTAAACAAATAACTTCATATAAACCTGATAAAATTACACATAAACGAGATCAGGAACTCTGTAGTAGACGTTACTACTTCATAAACCACTTGTTCTATCACTCGAGGGAAAATGTTCATGTTCAGCTGCATTATCACTGCATAATCATCACTTCACCTTTGACTTTTTATCAAGTTTTAAACCAAATGAGTGAGCACTTCATCACCGGCGTGGACTTCACCCACGTTGCTAATGGCCACACGTCCTTGAACCCGGGAAAAACATCTAATTCAATGCATGGAGCGTAGTGTTACCCACACCACTACATATCCCCACACTGCACACCTTCATGTATCTACCCACCTGGAAATCACAATAATCCCGAGTAGTAAACGTCACAAAAAATTTTCTTTGTACGTAGTATCCCGGGGGACGGCGGAGAACAGCGTCACACTACTCCCGTCACAGTCTAAGGCGCGACTGTCTGGCGGCAGCGGGATTCGCAACAAGTGTACGGGGGCTCGCGAGTCATCCAGGGCCGCCGCTGCCGACACCCCACCACGCCACGTAACCGCACATGCATCTCACAATCGCCTTTTCCCTCTGATTTACTTGCATTCACGCACACCAACACACTCGTTGAAAACTGCTAGGCTAGCTACTGATCCTCTACAAAAAATTTAACATGACCATCCATTACTAGAAACCTGTGGGACACAAATGAACCCACATAGACATCACAAACCTATCTTGACTAACCAGCATCCGCCACTCAGTCTCTGGCTTCCAAGACTGACAGCAGCCAGTCCATGCGGAGTAACCAAATGGTCTTGTTAAACCAGCTCCATAAATTCAGTAAGTAGTGTTTTACGACCACTTGAAGTTTGTTAAAATCCAATCGTTTCTGAAAGTTCTTATTTTTCATAAATGTAAATGATAAACCCAGATATCTTGGAGTATAATATTCAATGGAAAAACATGTCTCATCTAAAAATAAACATTATTTATCATACTGCTTGATAATATTCCACATGTAACAAATAATCTTTAAATATTTTTTTTGGTGATACATATACTGTACACGGGTATCAGAAAGGCTAGTGATTGAAGGAGTATACAGTGTAGCACAAATCAAACTAAACTTTTTTCGGATGAAAACTTTGAGCAGAATCCAGTGTCTCAAGTGATGCTACAAACTTCCACTCCTACACAGTGAATGATGAGGGTGGCAGCAGTGTGGGACGACTCGTGAACTGTGTTGTAGTGAGAGAAGAAAGGAGAGAATATGGCGACAGGATACCAATGATAAAAATGTGGAGCGGTAAGTTAGGTCTCACGAGCCCCATCCTGTACGGAGCACGCCGGCACCGGAGGCTACGACACACACATTATATGACATAAAATACATAAAAGACTATTATTGTCAAGACTTTGAGGTACATTCCACGCACCCTCCACTCTGAATAAGTTTTACCTGGTTGCACGCACAAACATCATGTTTTTTTAAACAAATTAAGAGGAATTAGCATTAAATAAATATTAAAGCTTACATTAAATGAAATGGTTAAAGAAACTCAAATGCAGCAATAAATAATAAACCTAGTAATCTGCTTATAACATGACATGTAGGTTAACATCGTCATGGTATCAGAGTAAAGAGGATATGTTCAAACGACGATCAGTGAATATTACCAATGAAGCTTCAATAAGAAGAGGTGCGTCAGCTCGTCCTTCATCCTTCCAGCTGTTTGACGGAAACGTGAGGCTCTGAGTACACGATGAGTTCTATTCTTGCGTCCACGGGAAGAAACAATGCACAACGTTAACACGCTGAGCAGTGCTTCCTATAAACATACCCAACAGGTCACGTAAATATCGCACAAAACAACTCACTCGTTTTTTTCCTTCTTTGCTGCAGGCTTATAAAATTATTTTAAGTTGATGATATGGAGCGTTATCAGTGTTGGATCTCAGTGGGAGGTGGTGGTTGCCTGGGTGACTGTAGCGGATTAGAAATGAGGGAACCTTGGCCAGCTTCACTTAACCGTAGGTAAGTCTAGTTTACTCTGAGTCACGTTGACAAGTTTAGTGTGTAATGGGTGGTTGAATCAATACAGGTTCCCACATACATGACTGAACGCAAGACAGGAAATGTGGAATATTGTAGCATTAAGATAAGATATACTGTATAGTTTTCTCTATAAAATTAATCACAGCAACGTTCACTCCATCTCTCTTACTGATAGATTACATAAACCTATGTAAATGAAAGAGACGTTAGTAATAAGTTGACAATGTACTTCCAATTTCTCATTTTATCGATGAAGTTATAAATAAACTCAAGAAACAACGCCACCTGACACAGCCCTTAGCACTTCCACACAACACAAGGGCGGTGCTGCCAGGTGGGGAGCCTTGAGTGAGCTGCGGGTAATATCGTCCCAGATAAGAGGTCACTATTCACAATGTGTTACTACTAGTACTACTACTGCCTCGCCAGCACCCACCCCGTTCATGCTTACTTACTCTGACCCTCTGCCAATCACCCCACGTACACCTGTCATCGCCCGCCGTAACCTTCGGCGGCGTCCATCAAAAGAGAGAGTTAACAGGGGGGGAAGATTTTAACGACGTACACACAAAATAATGCAAATAGATTAAGTACACCATAATGCCACTTGAATCTGTCTTGATGAAAATTATATATAAAATATTTAGTGCATCAAACTAAACACACACACACACACACACAGCAAACCGATTTTTCAAGCACGACAAAGTGAAAGGAAGACTTTCGACGGTTTCCCAGCACAGCAGGTGTGAAGGACCGCCTCATATAGTGCACACATCATCCACGTCGTGAGCAACACCTGAGTAATGCACGTTCGTGAATCCTAAACTCCGGAGGTAAAATACGACGTCAGATTCTCCCGGTCAACTCTTCGGACGCTAATATTTCCAAGGGCTTAATATATCATAATAAAGACATCACGCTCACAAGGCTTTATAACAGAAAGAAACAGATTGAAATGGAGAGATTTAATCACACAAGTCTGTTCCAACTGTTACATAACTAAGTGGGTCATCCTCCACCTGGCTGTAGAGTATTACTGAAGAATAAGTTTATTTCATTTAAAGAAAAAAAATATTTTGCATCCGTAAGGAGGCAAAACTGCAGGTCAAGTGAGGAAACAAAATGTTGAGCACATACTTGGCAGGACCTGTAAGCCACCTGAAGTTATATTATGGGTCCTCAAGCACCCACTGCACAGAAATTAGTGCAAGGAAAAGAAAATCTTTATTCGCAGGTGTTCATGTCTAAAGTGTAATTGACTCGGGGTAAATCGAACAAATTAGTATTCCGAACATAAATATGGACGATTTGAGACGTCTTAAACGCACATATCTTTACCGCAGATTCATGATTCATTTTTACCAAGACGAATTAACAAAAAAGTGGTCCACCGCCTGCGTGACTCACTGCAAGGTGACGACAGCAACACTGCTTTAAGTACACACCAGGTGAAACACACCAGGTGCTAGTGACCTGCTCGGGTAGGTGAAGGTCAGTGTGGAGAGGAGGGGAGGTGGGGAGGAGTGTTGCGTAAGTGGTTGGGAGGGGGGATTCGTATCCGACATATGAAACTGTGTGTGACAAGGCGTAGCTAACAATGGAATGCTTCCTATTGTTGTCTTGACGAGTCTTGTGTTGGTTTGTCTTGAGATCGACACACGTGATACTGCCTGAGCCTTCCAGCAGCTGTAGGTATTCAAAAGTCTAGTTATGAAGTACAGTACCACTAAAAGTACAGGTTTACTAAAAAAGTACCACTACAAGTACAAGTCCGGGTGTATAGCACAGGTGGTGTACTATCCACGTGACCACATAAAGGTGATGTTTCCTCCCTAGGAAGACATATAAGTACATAAAACCTATATTAAATTATTCACTTGTACTCAGTAATGGACACTACTGTGGATGTTGCTTAACCATACCAGAAACAGAGGCTAGGCCAGTAGTACGCCACCATTCTCTGGGTTAGTATATAACCCCTTGATGCTGGCGTTGTACACAGCTAGGAGGAAGTGGGGGAGAATGTAGAAGAGGATGAAAAAGAGGAGGTGAAGGAGGAGGAGGATGCAGAAGATGAAGAAGAAGAAGGGGAGGAGGTGGGGGAATGAAGAAGAGGAAGCAGCGGCATCAGAGGAAGAAATCAACATATCACCACCTACAAGGAAACGCTGCAGTGTGGCGTGTCTTCTTTAACAGATTTCTCTTAAATTTAGCGAGAGCGATACTGATAGTTCTATCATTATTATAGGTATCATTATTTTATTATCTGTTATCAGAGGAGGGACTGTGGAGCGTGACCTACATCAGTGGGTGTGAGGCGTGGAGGAGGTCATGTACAGGGAGGAGCCGTGTTCGGTGGAGAGTATGAGTGTCAGACCTGGAGGCGTGAGAGGAACTGAGAATACGGTGGCTGCAGGCGACTATGGCCTGTGTAAGCCAAACCGCTACTGCACACACAGAATGATCATTGTCCATTGTGTATCAAGTCTTCATCTCTCTCTCTCTCGTACTCCTTTCACCTGCCACACCTGCAACAAGTCACACTCCTAAAGGCAGAGTCAATATAATAAGGAAATTACCTGAAGATTAGCCCCTAGTTTAATTCACCTTAAGATTAACCTACACCGTAACCTTAACCTATCCCCAGGTAGGACTTGGGTGTTTAATCATCAGGTGATATATGCTGAGGGGCCAGGTGATCAGAACCCTGTCCCCGTCTTTGATTCAAGATTCTTCACCTCCCCCCCGGCCACCTGCAGTCCTTGGCAGTTCCACCTTGTTGAGCTCTGAGAAGCGACTTATTTATTTAATTATTTGGTTTATGCTGGCAGACACCCTTGCCGTGTAAACACAGGTGAAGCAGCACATGTTGTTAAAAGGTGATGTGAGCTTCTGTGTTTGGAAGAGAAACGATCATGAGAGAGTCTTGTTGGTGTAGCTTTGTTGAGACCTGAAGGGATGATACTGGTGTGTACTTATCACAGCTTACTACCAGTCTAATGAACATCTTTATAATTGTCTTCCCTAAGTATCTCTCTCTCTCTCTCTCTCCACCATGACACCTCTTTCAACACTGCTCTTAAAATATTCAACAAAAACACTCACACACACACACTCATAAAAAGCACAAGTTTAATGGTACCTAGAGAATGCATTTTATATTAAGGAGAGAACATGTAGGAGCGAGCGGCAGCCAGCCAGGGTACCTCACCAACCAGTCTGGTGAGCAAATGGGGAAAGATTACCACCCCGGCCACCGCTTCAATGACAACCAGAAAAACTCGTCTGGCAACATCAACACCACAATGTTTGTAAGAGACGTTTTTACTTTTTTTTTTGCCAGCTATCCTTGAAGCAGGCTGAGGGTCTTACATCAAACAAGGTAAGACATAAGAAAAATCACAAATTATACAAG